AAGAGATTATTACACGGTATAGCCATCTGTGGTGGTCACGTGGTCCGATTACCAGCTCAGATATCAGAATAATAGCTTTAACTGCCGTTTTTGTGGTAAAACAGAATATATTATATTTCTATGAGTTGTTTACAATGTTTTTATTGTGAAATATAGATCTCATATGATCTCATATGAAGAGTTATGACAGTTATGGTTTACAAATTTTATCTGGGTTTTACAAATTTATTCCATTGAAATAATCTATGTACTTGGATAGATAAAAGAAAATCCATAGCTGTGGAAATAGAAATAGTAATGCGCACAATTTCGTTTTTGCTCTTTGAATACACAAGTCCATACCTTGATGATTATGCATTCTATTGAGAAAATAGATTAGCCTGTCTATGATGTAGATGATGTTCATAAAATTCTGCAAGTATTTCAACGTACCTGTATGACTACTTCCTGTGGTAGTCTTTTCTCAAGTTCTTTATTTTGAGGTGGCCTCTTATTGAAGTCTACTTCAAATGTCCCACCAATACATGTAAATTGTTGCACACCAACAGAGCAAAGGTATGTTTCCACATTGATACAGCCTTCCATTTCTCTCATTTACCATACTAACCTCTGCAAGATGGAGGCAAGGTCATATTCTTGGAAAAAGTAACTAAAATCAATAGCACGTTTTTGTATGCTTGCTTCTGTATCATGTAGCCCTCAAGATGTGCTTTACAAGTGTGAACTCCATGATGTGATTAGACTTGACAACAGTTAGCTGCAGTATAAATGTATCCTGTAATGCTCTTGACCTTCTTTGATATATTAAACTGTTGGCAATGGTCTTTATCTGCTTGGAATTCCTTAGTTATAATGCGCGGGCCTTTATGTGCAATGTGCTGATGATGTCATGCTAAGTAGTTCTGTATAGCTTAGGGTAATTATCAACCCAGTCTTCACTTTGTTGGCCTGCATTGTACAACTGCTGCTGTTATCATAAGCGTAACTCCATGGAATGCACAAGTTATCCTTGTTTACAAAAAAAATTGTTTCAGTCTAATCCATGTTTGCATATTGATTTAATTTGTAAATGCCAAAGAACATGCATTGATCCAAGGTGTTGTACCAATAGTTCATTCGCACATCAGAAAGTTATGACCACCCTAAAAGCTTTTACTATGTTTAGGCAGTGCTATCCCAAATGGAAATATAAACAATCATGAGGTCATTAATATAACATTTGTCCTTTACATTTATATCATGTTGATAAACCTACAAAACAGTGTATCCCACATTTAGTCTTTGTTATATGTTATGTTCACAGTGAGGGTTTATATAATATATACATGTACATACAGTAATAAATAAAATCCAACAATATTGAAGTACGTACATAAGTGGCAGCATAAGCCCTTATAGGCATTGAAAGATATGGTGTGTTTACAACTAATTGAGTGAGTACTAGTATAGGAACAGTTAACTATTTTATGACTCATACCTTATTCAAATTAATTCTTGCAGTAAGATACTTGAATATATGTGAGTCACATATTGAGTGTTTGTCACTATCAAAATGAAAGTGTTGACTTGTCAAATAATTCCATCTTTATCTTTCTTTGTCACTATCAATATTTTCTGACATCCAGATTATTTTATAATGACTTGCATGTCTGATGTCACATAGGATTATATGTTGTTATGTTTTTTTCCTGTTATGTTTTTTCCTTTATGAAATAGGTACTTAAAATCTGATTAGAAACTTGATATTATCAGTCATACACATGGAAAATTGCTGTGTCATATCTTAGCACATGTTGTCTATATTTAATTTTAGCATGCTGAATTTGTTAACTTGTCAATACCAGTTCTTTTTCACCAAATAGGAAATTTGCTAAAACTATTCATCAGACAAATACTAACCCATTTTAAACATAAAAATAAAAATGTATTTCTTACCAAATTGAAAAATCCTCTTTTTTTTCTGTCTTTTCCCCTTCAAAATAAATAAACTAACTATGAAGTAAATGATCATTATTATTGAAAAGACTGGAATTTTTCACATGTACATGGCAATTCAGCCAAAGAAAGTTACCCAATGAATTCTTTTTCAGGTTGGTGCCATTATAATTACTCCCACGCGAGAGTTGGCAGTACAGATCAGTGAAGTCTTGACAAAGTTCCTAGAGCTAGCCCCACAGTTTACACAGCTTCTGCTTATTGGTGGTGCAAATCCACTTAAAGATATTCAGAGATTTAGAGATCAGGGGTAACTAATAGTGTTAGTGATGTTATTGTGATATACACTAGTGCAATCCTCAAGAGGATGTCACATACACCTTGCTGACTAGTGACATATTTGATTTATACATGGACAAAAGTACGAATTATCATTATTATGTCCAAGATTTATACCACTGCAGATGGTTAACATCAGTTTAAAATAAAAGACTCCCAACTTGGTGGGTTTCTGCTTCATCTGTGATGAATGTATGCAAGAATTAGTTTCACCATATTTGGATATTTTGTTTCTGACATTCAAGGTGGTATAAGTGGCAATATAATTAAACTTTAGAGCCCATAAATAATGTGATGTCACCTATTTGCAATCACGTTTTAAACCCAAATGCAGTTTTCATATCTCTTTTAATTTTTGTGATCTTGGCAGTGATTTTTACTGTCTATCACCATTAAAAAACTCCGTGCATGATCCCTGCAGATGGATTTTTTTACGTGTCAGATGTAAGTCATAAATTACAAATTGCTTTATTTTTAAATATCAAAGTGTTCTGAAATTTTATTTTTAGGGGACACATTATTATTGCCACACCAGGTCGTTTAGAAGATCTGTTTCAGAGAAGACAGGAAGGTGTAGATATAGCTGCAAGTGTGAAAGCATTGGTAAATACAGACATTAAACGGGTTTAAGTTACATGTAGAGCTGGATATATTAGGGGGTTGCATTTTAGATGACATCATAAATGGTGGAAAATTGGAAGATACCCAAATTGACAGTAGTTATGTTTTAATTAGTTCATTATATTTTTTTGCAGGAGGTCTTAGTATTAGATGAGGCTGACAGACTATTAGATATGGGTTTTGAGGCAAGGTAAAACATATTAGCCATATTTAGGTGGTTCTTATTAATCATCAGTCATATCCTTTGACTTATGTGTGTTAAAATACATTGCTTAATTAAGCTAAACTTGTAAGACTGAAATACCAACCCTATGCATTTCTGCATATGTTACTTAGTTTTTATGTTGATAAAACCATTGGTCATTTTAGAGCATTGATATTGACAGCATTGAATTTTTCTTATAATTTCACAACTACAGGTAGTCAACATTTAAATTTTTTTGCTAGTATCAACACAATTCTTAGTTACCTTCCCAAACAGAGGAGAACGGGCCTGTTTTCTGCCACTCAAACTCAGGAAGTTGAAGCTTTAATAAGGGCAGGTTTAAGAAACCCAGTCAGAGTGACTGTGAAGGAAAAAAATACTGGAGACACTGTTGGAACTCAACGAACACCATCTTCATTACAGAATTATTATATGGTGGGTATTATGCCCTGATATTTTCAACATTCCAATTTGTTAGCAAAAAATGTAGAGAATTTTTCTGGAAAGAGCCATTTCAAAAATTGTTAAGAATTGGTGGTAAAAGGCTTTATACTAAATCTTTATAGGGCAAGTGCAAACTGAACAAATTTCTCTTCATACGTAGTTCTTGTAACTGATAAGAGATACTTAGGCAAAGCTTTCAAACATCTGCATGTTCCAGACAGTTTGTGAAGTGATAAACTTTAAGTTCACTGGTCAGTATTTTCCTCCTTTTCAGGTTTGTGATAGTGATAAGAAATTCAACTATCTGGTAGACTTTCTGAAGAGCCATAGTCAACTGAAAAACATGGTGTTCTTTAGCACATGTGCCAGTGTAGATTATTTCTCTAAAGCCTTAGAGACGTAAGTTATCATTACTTTTTTTCAGTTATCAACTTAATTCATACTAACAATAGATCAATTAATTATTTGATACTTATTTCTCAAATAGATTCTTTGTAAGCTCCTAAAAAGGAATGGGGTTCATATGAGATAAAAATTGAATGAGTTTTTTTTTTTTTTTAATTCTTGTGAGGAATTACAGTATATCTACACAATTATGATGTATTGCAATTTGTTATTGACTGTCTTCATTTGTTCATCACTGTGCCTGAATGACAATACAATATAAAGATTTAATGATATAACAGGTTGCTTCCAAACACTGAAGTATTAAGTATACATGGAAAAATGAAAGTGAAAAGGAATACAATATTTACAAAATTCAAAAATTTGAAAAGGTGAGTTGTAGATTTAAAAGCTCCCTAAAGATAAATATTAACATTGCATACTCCAGTTAATCATAATATATACTTGCTCTAAGTATTGACATGGGTCTGCAATATATTTATAACTTCAAGGGTTGATTATTAAAACAAAATGAAATGGGACTCAAAGCATTTCTGTATATTCAATCTTTTTCTACATTTTTAAATTAAAATGTTTAGAGTTTATATGTTACAGTAAATACAGCATGTGTATTAGTTATACTGTATTTGTATAGTTTAGTACACATTCATACTTACTGTATACTATTTTGTGTTGTGAATATCTGGAGAAATTGTATGGTATTTGCATATTACAGGTAATATGCATGTCAACTGTTACAATACTCAATATTTGTATGCTATACTTGATGTATTTAAACTGTTACAGTGGTATTTTGATGTGCACAGATGTAATGGCTAGAGGTATAGACATCCCTGATGTGAACTGGGTAATACAGTTTGATCCTCCCAGCTCAGCAACGTAAGTACAAAGACATGCCTTATGGCTTGGATTCAGACACACACTGGTTTAGGATTTTGTGGCTCCATCGGAGGGCAAATTCATTTTAATACTGATTTTTCTGAAGTGCAGTTGTGTATTTCTCTGTATCCGTAGATTATACCAGTTGCTGTGCAGCTTTGTAGAGTTCAGTCAGCTGAGATATATGCCATTGTGCCAAAGATATTAAGATATTAAGAACTTGGAATATGTACTCTCAGAATACTGGTCTGATTATTGTGGAATAACTGTACATTGTCACGTTGATAGGCATGTTACTGACCTATCTTTACAGTGCCTTTGTACATCGTTGTGGAAGAACTGCCAGGATTGGGAACACTGGAAATGCTTTGGTCTTTCTGATTCCAACTGAGGAAAGCTATGTGCAGTTCTTATCTATTAATCAAAAGGCATGTAATTATGTGAATATTCACTTTCTTGCTTTTAAAATTAAATGTCTGTTATTTTTTCATTGGCTAAAGCTTATTTAATGAGTTAAGATGTAGAATGACTTCATATAGTATCCTCTGCATGTCTGAGCATGCTTTTAACCAGTAAATTAAGCTGAAACCAAGACCCAATATACATCATGCTGTCTTAATACACAATCTTTTTCAATGATAGGTACCTCTGAAGATGTTGCAGCCACCCCATTTGAAAGTAGATTTATTACCAAAGCTTAAACAAATGGCTAGAGAAGACAGAGCTATATTTGAGAAAGGAATGCGGGCATTTGTTTCTTTTATGCAGGCTTATGCCAAACACGAGTGTTATCTTATATTTAGGATAAAAGGTAAGCATTTAATTTGACTTCAAACTTAAATTTATGTAAATTTTTTTTAGTACAAGTCTTTTGAACTTTGTAAATATTATCTGTTATTATCTGGAAAAAAAAATGGCATGGTTTATAATTAGTTATCTCTTATTCATATATTAGATTATTCTCACTTGATGTATGAAAATATTTTTTGCATTTTTGCAGAGCTTGACATAGCAAAATTAGCAAAAGGATTTGGACTTCTCCAGTTACCAAAAATGCCTGAACTGAAGGGGAAAACATTTCCCGATTTTATTCCAGATCCAGTAGATTTAATGACAATTCCTTACAAGTAAGTTTGGCAGAATTTTCTACTACAGCACAGTTTGATTTATACTCTGAAATGTGGAGGAAGGCAATGTTTCATTAAAATAATCTGCTTTCAAATTGTTAAAAATTTAATGGCACATGCTCTGCCTTTTTGTTCAAAAGTTTAACAAATTTAACAGTTGCAGGGAAGATTAATTTTGTATTTAACATGCATGTACCTCATTTAAGAGATAAAAGCAGAGAAAAGCAAAGACAAGAACATCTGAAAATTTACCATCAAACAGGTGTATTCCCAGGAAAGAAAGTCAAAATTCATAAAGTAAGTTTTTGTATTTCATCAGTTTTTTCCTTGCATAAAAAGTGTCAAATAGGCTCTGGAGAAATCATATAAAAACATTTAATGAATGTTTGAAAAGGATTTTAACAATTTAAAGTGTGTAATTTAAAAAAAAATTAAAATACAGACCCATATACCCTTATGCATGATTATGACAAATTTTATATTTCAGAAGGAAACGGTACCTTGGTCCAAACAAAAAAATCGAAAAGAAAAGAAGAAACAAAGGAAAGAAGTGAAAGAGCAAAGAAAACGTAAAATGGAATTTAATGATGAAGAATTGGATGAATTAGAAAAAGATGCAAAACTGGTCAAAAAACTGAAAAGAAAAAAGGTGAGAAAAGGCTCATCTTTTTTCAGCTTTTGGATTTAGCAAAAATTTCTTGATACATTTAAGTAAAGAGTACTGTAAATTACTTTAAAAGAGAAAGATCTTATTTGTTTAAGCTTTTGAATGCCAATCTGAACAAATTTTTTTTTTATACAGATAACTGAAAAGGAGTTCAATCATAAATTTGATGACCTATCAGATGAGAATGGAACTTGATAATCATCATGCTTTGTACATCTTGTGCAGAAACATGTTGCCTTGCTTCCAGTCCAATGGGAATTAGACTCTTCACAGAAATATTTGGAATGATAGAGCTCACAGCTGTTGCCTGCCACTGTAAGATCTTAGCTCATTCAAGCAATTGGAACATAGAAACTCAACTCATTAAATAGGCCGACACATAGAATTTTTTTTTTTTTTTTTTTTTTTTTTCTTACCAGAGCCAGCTTAAATGTCTTTGCTATTTTCCAACATTACAGTGGGTATCTAGCCAACTTAATTTAGGAATTGGACATAACTAAGTGGCATTATTTGTAAATTAACTGTTGCATCTCAATATAACTGAAAGAATACAACTGGCTCATCACCACTTCCGTAACATTTTATTATACTTGTAAAATTTATTTATCAAAAGAGATTTTTGTGATGTTCTCCCCTGTATAATTTAATAAACTTATTTTTTTACTGACAGAATATTAAATTTGAGATTCTTGTGCATGATCAGAAAACTCCAATCTTTACCCACCTTTAAACATAAAATGCAACATACTACTCTCAACAGCATGGAAATGTATCAACCTTGTTTAAAATTTCTTTCAGCCAACACAATTTATGGAATTGCTATAAAAGAAAGTCTGTATTTCAAATGTGTTTTTAACCATGAAATGCCCTCCACTGGACCTGGACAGGTCGACTGGAATTGTTAGAATGTGGGTTTTGGATGCAGCGGCATGTACTGTTGCAGCAAATTCAGCATCACTGCCTAGAAATGGAAAAATATACCACTTATAAAGTAATTAAGTGAAGAAGTATTTCTGGTTGCCTTTCGTCTTAAAGGATTACATGAAAATCATGAAATAAAGAGAAGTAAAGCTTATCACACTAAATGATGGTGACTCTCGATTGTATGATTACTTTTGTGATACTGCTAAACCATCAGTGAGGTGACCCATCACATCATCTGTCAAATGTTTGGTATGTTTCATTAAATCTTAGACACTATTTTTCACAATTACTGTGCTAATAAATAAGTAGACAGCAAAGCTGGCAAATATAGAGACACCATACAGGTAACTGGGCAGCAAAGCTGACAAATGTTCAGACATTACACAAAAAAGTACGCCAAATAATGTTTTGGCCAATTTTGATGCACTGTTAGTGTTACATAATGCTTTAAAGCAGAATAATCATTCTTACCTTCTTACATTATGTACTACAGGTAACATGGACATTTAAAAGCTAGCAAGTGATTCAGTTCCATGGGATATAAAAGCCAATGAAAACAATGCTGTGTGAGAAGTAAAAAAATTCACACACAAAAAAAAAGAATTGCCATAAAAGTAAACCGATTATGCCCATTTTCTAAAGCAACCTGCTTCTTTACCAAACAAAGCCACTCAGAGAATTTAAAGTAAACCAAAGATACGTTTTCGAAGTTATGGGGTGAACGTCACCAAAACTGTGCAAAAAAAATAATTAATTAATTAATTTAAAAAATCAGAATAATTACTGTAAATGTATATTGATGGTGCCAATTTTTAGAAGCAATCTGCTTCTTTGCCAAACAAAACAAATCACTCAGTGAATGTAAAAAATATGGTTTGGAAGTTATGGGGCAAACGTCACCAAAGTTATGCAAAATATATATATATATATATATATATATATTTATTTATTTATTTATTTACCATAAATGTAAGCAGATGGTGCCAATATTTGAATGCATACTGCCTCTCTACCAAAAAAAAGCCACTCAGTAAATTTAAAGTAAGACAAAAATATGGCTTGGAAGTTGTCGGACAGACGGACCAATCAGAATATATCAGCCATGAGCCTAGGTTTCAAAAAAAAAAAAAAAACCTCTGAACATTTGAGTATCAGACAATACAAATCTCAGGAACCATCTGAATTGAATTAAAAAACGAGGAATTCTGCATTTCCGCAAAAAGCTCATGTCTGATATATACAGACACTTTTTGTGTCTGTATATAAAAATCATTTTGAATTTTGATATATATTACATTTTTACTGACAAATAAAAGTGGCTACAGATGTCAACTTACCATAACTGTCCATTTCCTGTTTTCTGCCTCCTGCCACACAACTGACCTCTTTTCGTCGTAAAACACCTCATCACTGACCTCCTCCTTGTGTCTCGGAAGACAGTGCATAAATATGGCATGGGGTCCAGCAGCAGCCATCATCTGGAGCATGACCAAATCAAACGTAACTATTTTAATTTACTTAACATGCACTTTACATTTTTTCATGCACGGCTTATAGGTTTACAGGCTGCACTATGCATTTTGTCTATGCAGGAATGAATCTCAGATTTTCACATCTGATAGTGGTTTTGATGCTATGTGGATATAAAATTTAAAAATATATATATCAAACCAAGTTACGCCCCATACCAACTGCTATATCACCTCAAAATAGAAAAGTGCTAAATTGATGATGAAAGCTTTGAATTGCTTATGCTTATTGATTGCAACGTCGACATTTTATATTTACGAGGGCTTTCCCATTGTTTTAAATCAGCACAAAGATAGATGCATTTTTGAATAATTTGATGCAGGAAAAAACTCATTTTCGGTAATTGGATGATAATGAAGCCAAGGGTTACAATAATAAAAGATTCCCTTTTTGGTTAATCTGACCTCCTTTGTAACTTCATATCCCATGAAGTCTTTGATTCTCTTCTTCGACTCTGCCTCCTGCCCCATACTGATCCAGGTGTCTGTAATTACCACATCAGTCCCTGCTACTGCCTCCATAGGGTCCCTGGTGAAATTCATTGATGTGCCAGACTAGAAAAAGTGAATGTTGTGTCATTTTGTTTTCATCAGAAATGCTTATACAACTATTGGTCATTGCTTATAAAAATAATAAATTTACTTTGGCAAAGAAAATTGATTTATTTATTTTTGTCAATTTATCACTGATTCACAGATTAGGTGTAATATAAGTAAAAACTTTGTTATAAGATAAATATGCTAGTTTGACCCATTAGGTTGGCATGTTTTTCACACAAAAATGGATATCAAATGTTAATTATCCTAAAATGCCATACCACAGTGATATAAGAAGCAATATTTTATTGAAATTCTGAACACCAATATGGATAGCACGCAGAACTGTCAGAGACTGTACTAAATTCGTTTAGTAAGACTGCTGTAAAAAAAGCACTGTGAAAATGTCCTGGATATATAGCTAGTTCACATTGTGTCCTGTATTTATTGTTACCATAATTAAGACTATTTTACTTGCCTGTTTCACTAAAGTTACTGCATCTTCTTTTACTTTGGGATCAACATCATAGCCCTAAAGCAAAGCAAACAAACTTAGAAATGAAAATAAAGCTTTTCACCTATTAGAAAATATTGTCATTACTAGAAAAGCACTCCGAGAGCACAGACCTCTGCCAAGGCGATTTTTGATTATTATTGATTATTGATTGATAATTGATATGGATCACCACCAAAAACTAATCATCTGTTCCTTGGCCCACTTCTGACAGTTCCTGAAAATTTCATCAAAATCAGTCCAAAACTTTTTGAGTTATGTTGATGACAGACAAACAGGAGTGAAAACATAACCTCCTTGGCGGAGGTAATAATCCTTTTACAACTAAAAACAACTAGTGACTATAAAAACTTAAGGACTGTCACACTGTTATGACTTAAAAGACTCAAACTGATTTTCTGGAGCAATACCTTAGGAGTGGCTATATTCAGATCCATTCCAAGCTTGGGACATCCCATCAAAAATGAATGGACAACATTGTTACCATCTCCAACCCAAGCCAATTTCAACCCCTTCAGCTGACCAAAATGCTCCTGAAATGCAAAAGAGAATGATTTGAAAAAGAGGAAATAAAATAATTGAAATCTTGATTTCTAACACATCAGCATGGTTATGTGTTCAAAATGGACTACTTACTGGTACTATCTCCAAACTTATTTCCTTGACTGAGTTATGGAGTATATGGACATTAGGACATCTGTAAGATTTTATATTTATCAAATTTTCACTTCTGACAATGTAAATTATTGTAAATGGTCTAGATTTTATTATCATTTAATGAATGTGGTGATAAGATGAAATATGTTAATTACAGAGGAAAAAACAGTATAATACAACAGAAGATAAAATATGATGCAATGTAGTGTAAGAAATTATTTATGCTAATTATGCACTAACAAGGCCCACTACAAGTTTGGAAAAATTTCTACTTAAATGAATTACATTCAGCTGTCCCGAGTTGTTAACATAGCAATAAATTTCTCCTTATCGCTTATGTACAAAAGGTTGGGGGTACTTTTTTCTATTACTGCACATACAAGAAATTCGGGATACTTTTTTTCCATTACTACATGTAATTGTATTTGATACAATGGCACATGAAGTGTAGCTATCTTCCTTCACTTTACAGAAAGGACAAACAGTTTTCAGATAATATTTTTGGATAAATATAGGGCTGTATTGCAATTTTTTAGATATGCAAGCTAGTTCTAGGCCTCAGGCTAGTGCAGATATCTGTGTGAAGTCAGAAAACTTCAGTGCCAATGTCTGTAAGAAGTCGGAAATCTCTTTCAAGTACATTTCTTAATTATTATAGGATTTGATTAATTTGTATGTGTGTTACTTTTAGATACTATTCACAAAGTACATAATATATGTCAAAGTGATTCTTAAGTAAGAGATACTGAAGCCAATTTAGATAAATTTACAAGAGAACTTTAACACAAATTGAGATTTATTTAGTTAAAATGGACTAGCTCTTATGAAAATAAAAGTTTTACTAGTGAAAATTATTATGTTCATTTACCTGCAGAGTCTGGAAATCTGCCAGTATTTGTAAGGGATGATACATGTCAGACAATCCACTGATAATAGGTACTGTGGAATATTTACTGAGTTCCTCCAAGTCAGACTGACCGTAGACTCTGGCTAAGACAACATCTGTCATTCTGCTTAGTACCCTGTAATATGTACACAGCAGTTCATGAAATGATGCCCTTTCAGTATGATTTTTTTTATTTAAAAAGAAAAATTGCATAGGGAGGGGGCACACCTTTTGTGTGAAAATAAAGCAAGCTTACTGTCAATTTCCTCTCCCAATGACTTTAAAATAAGATAATCATGATGGAGTAAAATTTGAACAATACAATAGACTGAAATGTGCTGAAACAAGGTGTGTCTATTTTGAAATTTGGTCCACCCTAGGTCACTCTTAATTTTGAATTCAACCAAAAATTTCAAAATAAGTTATAATGACCTATGAACTGAATGAATGGAGACGAGTTGACACTTGGCATTTGGTCAAAGTATCAAAAGGACAAGAAAAATCCATTTCATGAGGAATATTGCACTAACGATTTGGCCCAATTTCAATAATCCTTGTACACTTCTGTAATATTTTCATAAACTTTACTTCTACATGCATAAATATTATTTTAATTACTTAACCTTTAAGGCTGCTTGGAATTAGATATGACATACCATTTTTTGCCAATTATGACAGAATAATCAATTTACACTATTATATATGGGATTTTATTTTATTGCTTTTGTAAATAGGTACTGTTTGGTTGACATTTTACTTAGTTTTGGCCAAAAAATATATACATTTTGCTAAAATGAGTCTAGAATATGCAAGTTTCCTATTTACTTATGTCTGTATATCTTATTACTTTGCACTGTCTTGCAGTGATTCATTGACTCCAAGATGAATGTCATCAGGACCAAGGAAAACTGCATGTCCACCAAGTAAACTCATACCTAAAAATAAGATGTTAAATGACTTCAATAAGTTGAACAAAAGAGTGAACTGTGTGGGTAAAAATGGTCCAATCATTCACATACATTACCTAAATCATCTATGCTTAAGGAGAACAGTGTGTGACTGATTAATAACGAGCTTCCACTTAGTGAAGCTACAGAAAATGCAGGTTTTTATCTTCTTCCATGAAACTGTGAGAAAAAGTCCATATCCCAGTCTTATGGTGAATTTCTGAACATTGGGAGGCTGGGGGTGTTCAAGTTAAATTCAACTAATGCTACATATGTTAAATAAAATTACCAGTTTCTGTTGAAAGCCTAGTTCTTGTGCTTCGTTTCTGAAATATCATTGCAATCGATTTGCCAATGAGAGGCTGGAACACCTAAAAAATTGAAAATAAAAAAATCAAAATTATCTTTGTAACTAACTTATAATAACCTTTTAATAATCATTTTAGATTTCAACTTCTAAATAAAATGCTTTACTTACCTCTTTGTTTTCCTTATATCTTGTTTTTAAATCTGATGCTGTCCAAAGCAAATGCTCTATTTCACTTTGGTTATAATCTTTTAGGGTCAAAAAATGTCTGCCAATCAAATCTGTACCACTGAAAGATCAAAGTTGCAATTACCAGCACAACTTTCGAACACTGTGAATGGATCAAATATATATACAGCAGTTGCCATCCTTTTCCTTTCATTTTTATGTACAGACACAGATGTGTCTGTACATATTGCCATCACCTGCGTCTGTCGTCGCCGATGGCGATGCCGATGGCGATGCCGATGGCGATGGCGATGCCGGCGCCGTGCACTTTCCTTGTAAACACCATAAGTGGAGGGCAGTTTTACTTTTTGGCTTTATATTTACAGAGCTGATGAATATTCATAAAACGCAGGTCAAGTTCGAAAATCAGCATGATCGGGCCATTATTGTAGAAGTTATGCTGTTTTTTCACTTTTCAGCATATTTTTCACATTTCCTCAGATTCAATTCTTAGGCATGTTAACAGTCTCATTATTAAACTAATAAGATACGTAAAAGTTTTTGTTTGACATTTCCTGCATCTTTACAACATTGTTAGTTGATTNTTTTTTTGTTATCTATTTATTCAGGTCTATCTACAGAAATGTATTTGTTATTATTGACCTTGTAATTTTTTTTCTACCAACCATTTTTTTTTTTGCTTTATTGTGAGATGATTAAAAATAATAAATTAATTGAATATTACTGAATTAGCTCCATTCTCCATATCAATTACTAAATATTCAATTGATCACCACCAACATCTTGTTCATTTTTGGCCAAACCTGAACTTTTTTCAAAATCACTCTTAAACTTTTTGAATAATGTCGCTTACAGTCAACAGATTTAATTATTAACCAAAAAACTCATATATGGATTACTACCAACATATAAATGTTTGTTGCTCGGTCCCCAGTTTCTAAAAAATTCATCAAAATGTGTCCACAACTTTTTACATGATGCCAGACAGTCAAACAGACAAACTGAACCAAAAACATGTCATATGTAACCCAGTCACTAAATACCAAAGTACCAGAAAATACGACCTTAAAGGAATAGTGTTGGAAAAAAAAAACAGGTTATAACTATCATTCATGTGACCAAAAGTCATTTTTGGTCAATTAAAAAGTGATTACATTTTATTAGTTTTTACACAGATTTTACACAGGTGTGAATCTAGTTAAAGATACACCAGCGTGGTGCCACTGTGAGGAAGTAGTAGGCTATAGAGTGGCATAAGCACTGTCGAAGCGTGTGAAGCCATTCAGGTTGATTTTGCTTCCCATGCAGTTACTTCAACTCCAGTCTTTCAACTAGTGTTTTCACAAAGAAAATAAAAAAAGAAAAAAAAACTGAACATGGATATCATTTAAAAACAAACAAAAACAAACACCACAGTTCTATGTTTACAGTAATCGTTTGGTAGTAGATGAGCTAACATAGTTTTTCACACATGCTGGCCCTGTCAATCGACCTGAACGTGCTTACTTTTGACTTACAAGTCAGAGAAAGTAACCCAAGTAACCCAAATTTTAATGCTTTTTAGGTTGTCTCTAAAGGTAAAACAAAATAGCTGACGTCTATCTTTTTATTGTATCATTGATATGGCACCTGGGTATTTTTATGACACCTCGATTTCTGGTCAGATGTCATCACAACACATGCTCAGAGCAGTCTGTAGATCTAATGCACATGACATCACTAGATACTGACCGATCAGAATTTTCTCATATAAGTTCCCCTTTTTCACACTTTAATATTATAGAATTTAAATTGTTATTGAATCAGTTAGCATTATGTGTTTTTTAGAACACAGTAGGCCTTTAAGATTATTTTAAACATCAAAATAACTTTTCTGGATTCTGCACCCCAAATACACATTTGTCTTGAACTGAACATCTTGTTTCTCTGTCGAGAGAATTCAGTTGAAGAGAAACATTTTTGTAGCCGCAGAAGTGAGCCTTAAGATTATTTTAAACAACAAAACAACTTTTTTTTATCCTACGCCCTAACTTAAGATGTTGACGGGCAGAAAAACATTGTGTTCAATGCGAGACAAAGTGATTTGGGGTACAGAATTCAAAAAGTTATTTTGATGTTTTCAATAATCTTAAAGCGATATTTCATGTTACTTTGGTAGTACAGTATTTTGCAGTATTTCTGGTATTTGGGTGCATGTTTAGTGACACTGAATTTGGGGTGCAGAATAATAAAAATCAAGTTATTTTGATGTTTAAAATAATTTCAAGGTGGTATTTCGGTATTTAGTGACAGCCAAAATATAATAATAATTCTAAAAGTAGCCGCTAACAATAACAGAAATATTTACATGTACTGTAAGTATACGTACCGGAACATCGCAGAAGAATTAAAATCTTATACAGCAATGCGGAAGTAGTTAGCACACGTAAGTACCTGCTAAGTGCACAATGTCTCAATTACAAAACGTTTTTACTTTTATCTAAGTTAAAAACAGTTTTACATGTTGCATCATCTTACTTTCGAATAAGGTACACCTAGTCTACGTGATAGAATTTCCAGACGGCGCACTTGAACAACGCAAGGGATACTTTACTCAATTTTTATATTAATCTAAAACAAAAAAAAGGGGGTGAATCGTACAAAGAAAAATACGCACCCGGTACTTGCGCATCTTTTGATGACAGTGTTTGAAGCAAGTGAAAAGCATTTCCCAACTTGAAGCAAACACAGCTTGCCGCCTTGCATTATCGACATGATTTCATCATTCGGGTGGCCTTGACCTACCGGCGTAGCACAATGACTAGTTCCACGGTGCAACAAAGACATCGTGTCAAACACACTGTATTTAAGTATTATATTTTTTTTCAATACTTTCGTTGAAGATATATGACAATTGGCTGAGAAATACCAGTGGTGCGTAAAATAATGCATATAAGCCTATTATTAATATTATTATTAATAACTGCAGAACTAGGCATACGTGCTAATCATAAGGCTTTTAAAAACGTGAAGACTCTATAGTTTAAAACTTGCATTCATGATTTTGTATACTTTTTTATATAACTGAAATGCAATTTACCACAAAAGCGTGAGGCGATTTTCATAATTTTGACAATCATGGCTTTAATCTTTGAAACTTTCGTTTCTTCACCATGAAGTAAACATCAGCACGTGTTCTCGTTACTATAAATAGTAGCGTGATATTGCGAGATATACGGGCACCTGGCAGGTTGTTTAGGATACCAGTATGGCGACTGAAGACGACTCTGACATTCCAGGTGGGATTATCTTACCTTGTACAGCCCAATTCACCCATTCAACAAAATTCGTTCTTATTTTTATTGTCCTTGCTAATATTTTGAAGCAGCACTTAACTGCACGTCTTTATTCAAGATGCAGGGCTATTTGAATTTGAAATCATGATGTTAATTTTATTTTTACCGGCCCTCGGTTGTGCACTTTGATCGTCTTGTCAAATCCAAAACCAAGATTTAATGGTTTTTGTAAGTTCAGAAGAGATCATCATTATACAAAGTCTGAATGACAACTGGTTATTATAAGAAATACAACTTTACTTTTCCCATTAAGGGCATATGCTTTCTTAGGACTAAGAGAGATAGTATTCTAGCTAGATGCTTAATTTTAATCATAGAAGTAGAGAAAATCTTACCTCTATAAAATAGTAATTTTCATTATCTGTATACCTCTTCTCTGCTGGGATTATACTTTGGAAATGACAATAGATAGACAACATGACACACATTAGAAACTACAGGAACTGTTACTGCCTATTATATTTTAAATGTTTCTGCAATGTTGCCTTTAAGAAACTTTTGGACTGTTATTTTGGACTGTTGAATGCTTGTTGCTTTTATCTTCACAATCCCATTTCATTCTTGCTATAAGCAACTACCTTGTCTTTCTTTTCATTATTTCCTTCCATATGAAGGGTACTGCTATGGAATGACCCATTTTCCAATTATAATTTGTAACATGTTTTTCTCATATTTTTGTTATATAGAAACTGGAGGCGTATTCACATTTGGCAAGAGCAAATTTGCAGACAATGTACCTAGCAAGTTCTGGATCAGGAATGACAAAGTTGTTGTGGTTGCATGTGGTGATGAACACACAGCACTTGTTGCAGGTTAGTAGCCGGATATCTACAAGGATGCCAACATTATGAGGTTTTTAACATTTTTTACATAATATTTACTGTGTGAATATCATAATAAATGGTAAATCTAAATTAGCTTTTGAGAACTGTAATATAATGTTACATGTATCAACCAATAATTTGTACAAATAGAACTAAATTTATGTCAAAACCTTTCACCTTTTTCTGATGGTCCCCAACAAAAGTTGAAACTGTTTTCATTTTGTTAATTTCAATAAATAAAACAGTTTTGAACTATTTTAAATCACCAAATGAAATTACACTTAAATACAAAATTATAGCCTAAAATTGTTTCTTGGAACTTTGAGGAGTGTTGATAACAGTGGAATGCATCAAATATGGATGTCTGCTGCATTGTATAATGTTATGCTTTGAAAAGCAATACCTTAGATATAATGTGATATTGGACAAAAATGATTTACACTAGTTACAGGAAACAATAGATGTATGGTATTGATGTTTTTTTTTTTTTTTTTCGTACTGAATATGGAATTTCAATTTTAGCTATTTCAGTGGCCAGTTCCATTTCTAAAAAAAGAAAAATGAAAGAAAAGGATGTGTCTATACTGTCTGTAAATTCACTGAAAATCATCTACAATAATTTCATCAAATGCCCATTGTATTACTTTGAGTTTTTATTTGATTTCAGAAAGTGGACGCATATTTACATTTGGTTCCAATGACTGGGGTCAGCTGGGACTGGGCAATACAAAATCAGCTACAAAGCCAAGCTGTGTAAAATGTAGGTTTTTTATTTTATATTATTATTATTTATTGATTTATTAGAATTTCATGTTTTAGAAATCAACATGAAAACTATGAACTGCTTTTTTTCTTTGATATGTAATAGATGTATAAATAATAACATATAGTAAATTTCATTTGAAATTTTATAACAATTTTTAAAGTGCTTCCCCTCTTTGATGGGGAATGCTTCAGTCTGATTTGGATGGGCCTAACATGTTTGGCTTTAACTGTTAAGCTTGTTACAAGTTCCTTAAGGATATCAGGCTTTTCACTGAAACTTTTGGTCTATACTGACTAGATTGTGGTTAATGTTTATGTATATATCATTTTGTTTACTAGCATATGGCTTTGTTCTTTCTTGGCAAATGTTTATTTACCAGTCAAGTACACCTTCTGCATCTATACTGGTAATATCTAGATGCAGATATTTCAATTTGAAAGTTGAAGCTCATAGTATAACAAAAATGCATTTAAAATGTCTCTTTGAGATTATCCAATGGTTTTGTATTGAGATTATCAAACATGTAATGTTGCATGAAAGCTCTTTTTAAGTGTCTGCTTATCTTGTGTTAAATTTTGAAATCAGTGAAATTGTGGCCTTTAATGTTTATATGCAAATCAGATATTTTATTTTAAAAATATTTTTGTGCAGTATATTACATCTCAACTCCATTCTTTCAGCTCTTAAAGGAGAAAAGGTGAAGTCTGTGGTATGTGGGAGATCTCACACTATAGTTGCTACAGGTAATAAACAGAAGTACTTCTAGCTCTGATTAATTATTGTACAATTAAGTGACGAATATTTATAATGTGTGTTCTGATAAAGCTTTGAGAAGGTTGGGATCTAAACGACATCACCAAAGGACCAAATACTTGACTGATAGTTGATTAGTTTGAAATGAACAATATAGTGTCCTGGCAATTATTGCAACTATATCTTTAAACATATCCTAATGGCAGACAAAGATGTTTTTTAAACTAAAAGAACATATTTTTACATGTGAAAAGAACAACCAAAGATAGTTTTTCTCAGAGCAAAACAACAAAATATTTGAAACATCAAAAGTGATATGATATTAATATATATTTTTAATAAAAGGAAATTGATGGCAATATTGCTAAGAATTACAGCAGTAGACACACAGCCCGGTAAGACCAGATGACTCTTCTTTTAAAAACAAAGTAACTTGAGAGTTGAAAAATAAGAAGAAGAAGGCCTCTAAATCACTTAATTAGATAAAAGATGTTTTCAGTAGTTCTGCAGGGAGAACTTAAGCTGCATTGGGGGAATCTGTTTGAGGCTGCAACACAGTCTGTTGACTGCAGGATCATAGTTAGCCTGGTGATCTAGATTCAAAGCAGTTTTAGTCTGTGTCTCAGGGATTACATCCAATTGATCAGTCTAATGGTTGAGCTAATGAGGTGTGTGTGTGTGTGTGTGTGTGTTATATCTGTGTACCTCAGTGGACAAGTCACCTCTCAGGTCATCAGTCATAAACAAAATAATATTGTAAATAATTTTGCCTTACCACTCAGAAATCAAATCTCCTGATATGTTTTATGTTGAATGATAAATTTATTATACTAGTAAGTGTTTATAATGATTTGAATATTTGACATTTTAACAACTTTTTTCATACCTTTGTTTTCAATTAGATCTACATAGATAATTTAATATATTCAATTTGTAGATATTTTTCATTGATCACCAAAGACTAATTAAATTTTCCACTTTCAGAGGAGAATAAATTATATGCTTTTGGTGCTAACAGTGAAGGGCAATTAGGTATAGAAGGTCTCCAGGGAAGCTTAAACCCTACACCAATTGATGCATTTCCTGACCATCAAATCAAAATGATGTCCGCAGGGACTGACCACACTGCTGTTCTTACTGGTATGTTGTGTCCTTCATTAATCTGGGTTTTTAATGTTTAAAACATGCAATAAAAATAATATATTACATTTTTGGAGATGCATGTCATTTCACACAGAGTTTTCTTACAAGTACATAGTTACAGAATTTATGTCATTTGTAAATACATACTTTTTTAATTTCAAAACTGAATGAAAATTATACAAGTTATATGCCAACCTGGACTTGCACCTGTCTTAGTGACAAATATTTTTTATTTTCTATCTAAATTTTATTAGATGAATACTAAGTTCATACCTGTGTATTCAGTGTTTGAATACATTTATCATTTTCAGAAAATGGTGAGGTGTATGTGTGGGGAGGAGGAAGTGAAGGCCAGCTAGGTCTAGGGGACTTGGATGAGTGTGCAAAGCCAGTCAAAATACCCTTCAACAAGAAAGTCAGCTGTGTAGCTTGTGGATACTATCACACAGCACTGGTAACAAGTAAGTTTTTTAGTACACAAAATTACATATTTCCCCATTTACTATTATTTATTAAGCTTCAATTTTAATACCTGGGTTAGCCATATATACTTTTCACTTTAATTACATTAAGTCTTGCATCACTTTTTAAAGAACAAAAGGAAAGCAGCTACACACAATTGGGAACATAACTTTGCTACTGGTAAAAGAGAGGTTTGGCAGCCTTGTTTGACCAAATCTCGAACAATTGATATCCTTTATTGCCTTCTTTCTTGTTGTGATTGGGACTATGAAAGTTTGTGGTACACTGGGTTGGAGAAGACATAAATTCTGTGATAACTGACAGCACTGTATGCTTGGGCTTACCTCTATTAGGTCCTTTCTTGTTTCTTTGGGGAAAAAATGCAAGAAATTATTGATACGGTTTCACATTTCCTAATATTCTCACATATTTGTGTAGAAAACCTTGGTATTAGAGTCAAAATTTAATGTTCATTGGCTTGACATTCAGTTGCATTAAGTATGAAAGGTCTGAAATATTACATTGCTAACATTTCGTCATCACATCTCATTTAATTTTCATATTCATAAGAATAATTTGCAAAGCACCTCAGAACTTGTTACAGACATTTATAGAATACGAAGTTCAGATAAAGGCCTTTTAGATTATCCTTAATTTAAGAGCCTAAGGGACTCGCATCTATACTAGCTTACACTAAGGATCTCCTCACTGCAAGGACTGAAACTCAGGGTGTAAAGACTAAATATTTATGGGTAATCTTTCAGGTGATGGAAAACTTTATACATTTGGAGAAAGTGATCGTGGCCAGCTTGGTCTTGGTGAAGATGTTGAAGAACATGATACTCCGCAGTTGGTGACAGGAATAGATGAGAGGGTTGTCTGGGTAGACTGTGGAGGAGCACATACTGTAGCTGTCACTGGTAATTAGTCTTTGATATTGCACAAGCTGCCAATGTTGTGCTTTTTGTATTAATTCATGATAATGTTCATTTTCACTTTAATGGGAAAGATAAAAAGTTTTTTTATTGTAATCCCCCAACAAAGGTAAGTAATTATTTGCTTAGTCCGTCTTCAAAATGTTTACATCTGAACTGTTGATTGTTGTGTAAAAAATAACATGAAATGAAAGCCAATTGATAACAACAGATGAGTACAGAAGCTAAAATTACTTTGAAAGCAACAAAAATATTTTTCTCTATGTTGTATATTGAGCAGATCTACAAGTGTGGCTAGGATATGACCACCTGATATGAGCTCTATTTCAAGAAACTAAGTTTTTGACATTAGTTACATCATATTTACTTCACGGTTTATTGCTTTGCTTCTTTCAGGATCTGGCAAAGTGTATAGTTTTGGGGAGGGTAGCAATGGCCAGTTAGGCCATGGAACCACAATACTGCAATGTTCTGAACCAAAGTTGGTCACAAAATTAAAAAATGTCAAAATAAAAACTGTATCCTGTGGAGAAAATCACACAGCAATGATATCAGGTATGAAATGTTGACATAAAAAAACAAACACTTCATATTTTCCTTGATCATAGTTAAAAATTAAATTAAGATTATTTCATTCTGTTGCTGGCATTTGATTAATGCTAACTTGAATGTAATAATATCATTTTACACATCAATTGTTTGTGGTAATACAAAGAACCTGAAAAGAAGCATTCTGCATTTCGTATTTCCATTTTGTTGTGTGCTTTCTTGCTAAATTTAGAGGGCATGCATTGTGTGTTATTGTGTGTGCATGCCCGTGTGCATGTGTTGTCAGTCAATGATATTAGAGATTGAATTTACAATATACAAACAAATTGATACCAGCTCCTGAAATGCAATACATATTTGGTTCAATTTCAGAGAAGGGAAGCATGTTTACATTTGGTGATGGCAGACATGGGAAGCTAGCTCTAGGAGAAGAAAATTTTTCAAATGCTTTTCAGCCTTCAAAAGTTACTCGTTTTGCAAAGTTTATAGTTGATCAGGTAAGGGGTTTCATTCTCATTATCAATCCAAATGTCCAAAGATAATTGAGGATAAAGGTAAATGTTTTTATAAAGTAAGCTTTGACATTCATGTAGTTAATAACATTTCACATGTGTCTTTTGCTCTATGTTTGTAGGTGTCATGTGGAGGCTGTCATATGTTGGTAATAGCACACAAACGTATGGAGAATGGTGATATTAGTGATTCAGGAGATGAGATAGAAGAACCACTGAAAAAGTCACAAAACAACACCCTTCATACCAAAGATGATTTAGACTTGAATTCTAGTATATCTGCAAGGGACAGACGGCGGCTAAAAGATGTTAGTGGCTAAAGTGGACAAATCTCTTTTTACAGTTATTTTAGACAATTGAAATAAGTGTTTCTATAGTAAAAGATGCTTTTAACTTAATGAAAGTCCACATTTGTGAAGTTTGTAATCTGGGCAAAATAGTTGAGAAAATAATTTGAAATATCAGATAAGATTGGCTATAGGCAGTAAAGAGTATCTTAACCAACTTGGTAACCACCTTGGTTTGATTGGCATAAAGAAAAATAAGGTGTGTTTCTAAAGTGATTACATTAGATACGTTCATATATGGTATTCACTTTGCAAAGATACATTAGATACGTTCATATATGGTATTCACTTTGCAAAGATACAGTCTGACATTTATTACATTTCTATATCCTAGGGTCCACTTCCTAGTTTAAATAGGACACTACCCACGCTGTCAACATCGAGAGCTCTTCCACCACTAAACTCTACTCTCCCTACTAGAGTCCAAGATTCTCTAGTCAAAGGAAAACTACCAAGCATTCCTAAAGAAGATGTGAAATCCTCAGGTAAATGCATCACAATTTTCATATACATTGTAACAAGAGAAGCAGTGTTGTGAAAAAATAATAAGTATATGTTTTATAAAGATATACGGATCTTCATATAAAGAACAAATGAAGATTCAGAAATTAAAATAATTTGGTATCAAACAAAAAATGTTGATTATTTGTTTTATACCCATTTATCTCAACCTCAACTAAATAGCTGAATGAAATGGTGATCTTCTTTCCATCAATGCAAAAGTCTGTCTGAACTTGTAGCAGTGCATGATTTATCTAGGTTTAAATTGACGGTTGTAGTTTCAAACAGTTTTAAGAATGGTAATTAAACCAAATACTGGACACTATAAAGTATAGATGGTTTGAGCTCAGATATTTCATCCATATCCTTATGTCCATCAGGGCCTAGTCCCATGCCCACTTTAATTGGAACTGGAAGGGGGATCGCTTTTGTAGAGGGGTATAAAAGGATAGAAACACCATCACTGAACAAACGTGGTGGAATGCAATACCAATTTCATTGGATATGGGCCTGGGCCCTGGTGGCTATTCCCTGATGTTTGTTGCATAAAATCAGTGACCATAAGCTCAGTTCCTGACTCAGAGGAAGTCTATGGGATACAGTCGAAACATCTGAGCTCATATCATCTATATCTTAGTGTCCAGCATGTGATTTAAGTTCCATTATTTTGTTGGTGCATGATTTAGATTCATTTTTTCCATTGGTCCACTATGCTTTGCCAGGAATCTCTATTTATTATTTTGATTTATGTCTTGGTAATTTTGGTAGTGCCTAAGGGTAAAGGAAGAAAGTCTATTGGTGATGAAAATGAAGAGGATGATGATGAAGAAGAAGATTCAGAAGTTTCTGTCACCCCAGAAGGAGAGAGTGATGAGGATACTGAGGACGAAAATGAAGAATTCAATAAAGTAAAAATTAATGTTTGAAAGTTAATGTCAGTGTTATACTATTATATACCCAACAAGATCTAGTCTGCATTTTTACCATTATATCTTCATTGTTCATTTGCTCATGATCAAATAGTTTAAGTACTCTTTAGTTTAGTTGAGAAGTTTTTATGGAATATTTGTCTTTGCAGACCATAAAAGACAGAAAGGATATGAAAGCAAAGTCAGCAGATCTCAAAGCAAGAGCAGAGCAGAAAAAAAAGTTGGAAGAACAACATAAGAAGGTTTGAATTTTCAATTATTTCTGACGAATGCATGTTGACGCACTATGACCATATGTCTTTTTAGAATTTAATTTTCACAAATATTTTTCTCGTTCTCTTTGTTCAGAAAGGAAAATCTAAAGTTGAGAAGAAGGAAGAAGAGGAGGAGGAGGAGGATGAAGAAGATGAAGAAGAAGAAAAACACACAAAGAGCAAAGAAGAGAAGGAGAAGAAAAAAGATGTAGGTTGCTTTTAAATTTCACATTTTGAAGAATTGAAAAATATAGCATCATATTATAGTAATTATATTGAAAAATGTCATGATTTTGTACAGTTGTGATTTTCTTTTGTTTTGTGGCATCATGATTGAGTGGGATATGTATTTTTTTATTAAACAGACAAAAGGAAAGAAGAAAAAAGATGAAGAAGTTGAAGATGAGGAAGAAGATGAGGAGGAAGATGAGGAGGAAGAAGATGAAGAAGATGAGGAGGAGGACATAAAAAAGAAAAAGGTTGGTCCTAATCAGTATTAGAACTAAGTTTTGACAATATTTTCTCTACAGAGGAGATCATTTTGTACTTGACAGTTTACTTCAAACTATCCATTATGCATACATAATATTTTGGGTTATTATGTTTGAAATGTGCAGACAACCCTGAGCAAAGAATATGTTAATTAATTAATTAATTCATTGAAGTTGGTTTTATGTATATGCTTTTCCGTTGACATATAACATTACACAGAAGTAATTGGTGGTTTATGGACATGATTACATTTTTTCTTTAATTTTAGGATAAAGATAAAAAGGGAGACAAAAAGAAGGAAAATGAAGCAAAAGGGAAAGATAAGAAAGGTAATAGGTTGCTAATGATTGACCAACTTGTTTGCACTGATTGCAAAAAAAATGGGATCAGCATGGTATACACATAATGTGTATATGAAGGTACCATGTACACATAATGAATATGGAAGTGATGGGATCTGTGGAAGATATTAACTTTTTTACAGCTTGTCATGACTGCACATTGCCTAACTACAGATCTCACAAAGACTATTATTAACTCTCACCTTTTTTGTTACTTTCTGTATCTTATTTAATTTACTATATATTCAATGAAAGAGGAACTAAGAGACCTTGTGCCCTCTGCTAAGTAAAACAACAGAATCAGTATAATAACTGCTGTTGTTGTATTTATAAATGCACAAGAGCAAATAGTTTTAAATGCCACACTTAAAGTACACAACAAATCTGCACCCGACTTTCAAAGAATTATACAAGTGTTCAGGTAGTTCATAGATAAGAATATTAAGTAGCAATTATGCTGGATGTCACTGGTAATGGTCTTTATAATTTTATTTTTGTTTAATATGGATACCTGTAACATTTCTCATATATATCACTTTAGACTTGTAATTTTTGATCATGTTTATGAAATACAGTGGGCGTATACAGGATATTAATGCCTGGCTTTGCTGGTGGTGTGTCTTGTTATTGATACACACAATAATGACTTCAATAAGTGATAATACTTATGTATATAAAATTTCTCCATTTGAGGACATCTTGTTGCATAAAGGCCAATATAAACTTAATGATGTCATTGCTGCCTTCGTTTCTTTCAGAGAAGGAAAAGAAGAAAGAGAGCAAGTTTTCATTCTTTGGAAAAAAGAAGGTGCTTGATGATGAAGATGAAGAGGATGAAGATGATGAAGAGGATGATGAAGATGAGCAGGAAGACAAAAAGAAAACCAAAGCAAAAGATAAAAAAAGTAAAGCAAAGGACAAATCCAGCAAAGAAAAAGACAAAAAAGGAAAAGGCAAAGATAAAGATGAAGAAGATGAAGAAGATGAGGAAGATGATGAGGAGGAAGAAAAAAGTAAAAATAAGAAAAAAGATAAAAAGAAAAAAGATAATAAGAAAGGTAAAGATGAAGAAGAAGAAGAAGAGGAGGAGGAGGAGGATGAAGAAGAGGACAAGAGTAAAAGTAGGATTTCAAAATTATAAAGATTTCCTCATTGAGAAGTTTGTTGGGTCTCTGATTTGCAGAAAATAATTTCATCCAGAAGGCTGATGGCACTGATAATAATAATAATAATAATAATAATAATAATAATAATAAACAAACTGTTACAGTAAAGTGCTTTATTGAGAATTGTTTATTTCTAGCTTTTAGATGTATTTTTGATATTTCAAATTTAAAGGGAATGTTTGTCTTATGAATTTTTCAGGTAAGAAAAAGAATGACAAAGACAAAAAGAAGAGCAAAAAAGATGAAGAAGAGGAAGAAGATGAAGAAGAGGAGGAAGATGATGTGAGTTTTGTTGTAGTTAACTTTGAATAATTTATAAATATTAAGTCATTCCAGTGGTTTGATATTCAGATTTGGAACAATCTTCTATTTAACATCAAATTTGAAAAGGAAATCTTAATTGCAGGATGAAACAGAAAACAAAGACAAAAAGAATGAAGTCAAAAAAGAAGAGGAGAAAAAAGAAGAACCTCCCAAAAAGGTGGGTGTAACAGAAATAACAGTAATAAACATCCATAAGTTTTGAAGATTCAAAATCTTTTTATTTTACATTTTATCTCTTCATCAAAATTGTTGTTATTGATGACCCAGACATAAAAAAAGAATCAATAGGAGATATTTTAACATTTCACTCTATGTTGCCTTCCAGTCCCGGACCTGCAATATATTGTAATAGAGACGGAATGAGGATAAAGACATCTCAGGACTGTATCAAGTCCAGCTGGCCATTGGTCAGCACAAAATGTTTTTGATGAAAACAACTCAAATGTGATAGTGTTAACAGGTTTCTAAAGAGTGCACTGGTGTTGATCCCAGATAATATTAATAATGATTATTATTATAATAAGCTAAAATAGTTGGATTGTAAAATAATATAAATTGTTAAATTCACTAGAGAAGATAAATAAAATTGTTACTGAAAAGTGCTAAGATGAAATAAAACATTTTTTATTTCAAGGATATTTAAAGACTAAAAGTTAGTTTTGAAACATACTTAGTGCCAATGGTATGAACGTCTTTGAAGATCTGTTAATTCTCTATTTTTTGTTGTATATTTTTGAGTTCACAGAGTATATGGCATTTTCTTATTTGCCTCAGGCAACAGTTGGTGTAGTTTATGATATTTGGACACTGACAGATACAAATCCCAGTTGGAATGACATGTTGTATAGCTTAACACATGGGCTTCTGCTAGCATGAAGAGCCCAAGGTAGCCAGGCCGAATGCACTATTTGTTATAAGCTAGGTTTGCCACAGGCTTAGGCCAGGAGTGCTCTTATACTGGGTTTAATTTCAGCAATTTTCATTTGTAGTCAGTCACAAACTGTGATCTTATCCACTATTGTACTCATATTCATATCACATAGTGACAGTACATTGTGTTGGATTGATGGATCCTAATGTGCATGTTATATGACACTGAAATAGTTTATATAATACACTGAAAAATACTTGTCATCATGTATATTGATAAAAGTGGTTCTCAGTGAATGTGTCAGGGTCACTTCTGTCCATTTCTTTCTTTACGGTTTCTAAAACATCTTGGAATTAGAGTATTGCCTATTGAATTCTTTTTCATCATTTTTGGTTAACACTGGGCTGCATGTAACCTGAAATGGACTCTACTTATGTGCCATATTTTATGAGGTAAGCGAAAAACAAATTGTTGCATTTCTCAGTCTAAGCTTTATTTTCAACGTTTAATTACATGTAGAACTTCCCATTTTGATAAAGTTGTTAGATTGTTGTAAGCTATTATTAATAACTGCATCAAGTTGCTCTTAAATAGGCAGGGACATGGAGCGGCATAGAAATCTATAGTATATTAGCAGTTAATTTGGAATCTTTAGTTTTTATGGGTTAGCCAAACACTTATTTTGAACAAGCATACCGTCCACTAATACCCGTCACTAAATTTTCTTTTTAAAGACATTTTATATAACATTAAAGAAAAAGCATTTAAAATGAATTTAGATACACTAACATTTGTTTTTAAAATATTATCTTGTAAATCAATGAAAAAGATGTCATTTGTCTCATTTATCAGCACATCCCTGCACAATGCATGTACAGACCACAATATATGTGTACAATACAATGTACATTTTTTGTAAAGACTTGTACAAATTCTACCTATTTTTGACATATTTATAAAATTCAAGATGTAATAAATTTTTTCATATTTTGTTTTTGTTTTGTATATTTTATTTATCAAATGCCATTTGACACAGTTGTAAGCTTTATCAGTTGCAAGAAATAAAGATGCCTTTTCCAAATACTCATTATTTTATATCATTGGCATTCAAAACCAAGTACATCTCTCATAGCGATGAAACAAATACTGAATATTAAACTTGGCAATAAAAATTTTATTGCATTAAAACAAATGTTTGGGCATGTAGGATAAAAAGATGACAAATCTGGCATCAGGAATTAATGATCGTCTGAACTAATTTTAAAAGACTTCATGCAAGTCTTCAATAAAAATAAATAAAGACATCATTTCATTGAACCCTTATTATATGGATGACCTTTTCTCACTTCAAGACCAATCCTTTTTTGAAACTGCCCAGATCACTTACTGAATGGCAGGTATGACCTTTTTCCGTGGAATTTCAGAGTTTTGTGATTTTTAATCAGGCAAATGTTGGTCCTACAATAAATGTTCAGAGATTTTCCAAAAACCCAGGTTCACACCTTGAATAAGTTTCTTCTATATTGTGAAGACAGAAAATCTCTCATTTGGTCACTTCAAAGTTTTAATCACTTTTACTATCACCAAATTATTTAGAGATGGTAGCAACAAAAACATTTCATCATAATTCCCAAGTAAACTTTTTTGATGTGGAAGTTAACAAAACTGAGTGTACCAGGCCATCTTTGATCCAGCCCAAAAAATACCTGAGATTGACCTCCAATGCAATTAATTTAATCACATGGATAAGTCCCTGAGCACATGCAAGGACACATCTCACTGATGCTTAGAAATGATGAGTAGTTTGGCATACCTGCTCCACTGTCATGTCCCAGTTTTTCGTGGTAGCACAATTGACCTTGGGTATTCTCTTTCTGTTCACAGACTTACTCTTCCACATACTAGTCAATCTGTCTACTACCAAAAAAAATCTCATCCACATGAATAGTGAATCTTTTATAATAAATCCAGTTCATGCTACCTGTCTTTTTCTGTTCCAAGAGAAGTTTTACTGTCACAACCCAATTCTCTGTTGGCTAATTTTGCAGTCTTTTTAGCGTCCTCCTCTTCTAAGTAGGTAAACAACTCTCTGAAAGAGTCAAATTCATTACGCCCAGTACTTTCCTTTTTTGGTGCTTTAGGAATTACTTCATTCATCTTTGCGGAAAATTCCTTAGGCTGAAAAACAGTTTTGTATCAAAATTAAGCTAAAGAATAATATCAGATAAGAATGATTATGCAAATAATTATTGATCTTTCCTAGAAAGGTACATGCTAGGAAGTTTTAGTAAATAGTTCTCAGAAACTACAAGCACTAGTTTTTCATACACTATGTACCACTATGTACTTATACTAAATATTTACAATACATAGAAAAACAAGATCTATTGTGTTTTTTCCATTAAACAGTTACATTTGTTTAATCTGCCAATTTTAATTCAAATGTAAAATGAAAAATCATTTTTTCACCACATTATAATTTCATGAAGTCCAAAAACTTACAGTTCTCACTCCAAGGACAGCACAAGTAATAAATATGAACAAGCCAAATCCACCAAATGAGTATAAGGTGGCACGTGCCAGTGCCCTAGAAGCAATGGCCGATCCACTGTCAGGTAATTGCTTTGAACGTATCATACCCTGGAAAATAAAATAACATTCCATTTATAGAAAAAAATTTCATTAAAAACATCAGTTAATTGCAATTGTTATACTCAACAATGTTTTTATAAAGTACCATCACTGGTAAAAAAAATCCAACCTGCTGACCCGGGTGCCATTAAATCCACTTCTAAATCTATGCCTTTACAAATTCAGACCAGAGGATTTCAGAAGTTACAGGCAGGATTTAAATATATGTCAAGCACTTGAAATGCATCACTACATCCAGTCCTTCACTTCTTTTGGACAAAGACAAATTTCTACATTTGTTCTGCAACAAAAAGGAGTTTACATTCACACTTTATTTGACTTAAGTTCACCTAAACTTAGGTAAAATATTGCATGTCCTTACCCCCTTAAGGCCCTGTTACATCTTGTGGATTTGGAAATGTATGCTGACTTATTAAAAAAATGACTATTACACAAGCATACACTGAAAATTTTGAGCATGCAGTACTGCAACATATATCAAATTGAATGCGTTTCAGTGCGCTCTACTCAAAATTTTCATATGTCAGCATACTCAAACTAAATTGTCTAGGAATGACAGGACAATTACAAAGAGCCAGAGATAAATTTTACTGGCTTGTGTTTAAAATAACTGATCTTGGCCCAATGGCTATTCAACATGGAAAATAATAATTCCTCGTGTGAGCCTAATATGTTGGGGCTTCTCAACTCACCTTGGAAAATCCTTTTGGATCTTGCTTTTTTGCCAATGAAAAAGCTGTAGCAAACCCACCAAAGAACATGAAGCTGCCCATGCTTACCAGGAAAATAGCAGCTGCAACAAAATCAAAATGATAATCATTATGACTTTTTTTGTATGATTTTAAATGGGTTCTCTCTCCTTACTACAGGTTACTTAGCATGGGTTAACAAGAGCCATTCAGAACAAGTTGATCCACTAACTAACAGATCAAATATGGCAAATCCAAATAAAAGCAGCACCATCTAATCCCCTGATGGCCTCCCCACCTCCACAAAGCATTGTCGCTGCAGGCCTAGGGGCCTTGCAAGAGCAGAGAAATAATCTGTTTAATTGTACATACAGAGATAGGGAGACCAGGAGATAAGGCAGCTTACATTTAAGTGGGGTTGGACATATTTAGTCAGCAGATCAGTTAGTCTGCAGATCACCTGTTCTAAAAGCACTCTAAGAATACATTTATACAGTTTGAAGATTCATAATGTATGTGTAGCCAGAGTGTAGCCATATATATATATATATATATATATATATATATGGCTACACTCTGTAAATCTCTTAAGAGAATATTACAGAAAACCAAACTTTTTAGAAAAGAGTCAGGGACAAACTTTGAATGTGGGAATGGATTCATTAACCATTGGTTAGTATGGGAAAATTGTCCTTTACCCCAGGAAATCCTTTTTTGGCCAAAAGGAACAATTGTTATCCCTTTAATTAACGTTAATTGCATAAGAATAAACTTTAAGGCGAACATTAAATATCTACTGTCTAATAAGTTCTATCGTACGTGCAACTTTCTGCATTAGCACTTTCCCTTTGCTTTTAGTTTGTTTTTCTGTGTCATCGTTTTCCATCATTCTTAAGGAGATTACAGTGCTCCGATTCCAGTGCTCCGCTGCCGCATGCGACTTTAACCGGAAGTTGGTACTCTGTTATAATCTCCAAACACAAAAGAGCGTGAACAGTTTGATATGTTTTTATTGTCTTAAGGATATTGTAACCTTTTTGAACCATCCAGATACTGAAAATGAGGTTTTCCTGCTTCTCAATATTCAGTAATGCATCTATCTTGGCGCTGATTTAAAACAATAAGAACCCTAAATGTACAGCATAAGGCAATCAATTTAACACCTTTCTATTTTAAGGTGAAACCCCAATTTATCAACATGGACCTTAATTCTTCGTTTTGGCCAAAAAATGAATTTTCCTGCAGTAAACAATAATTTTTCCATACTTACAAATGGTTAATGAATCCATNTAAGCCAAATCCGCCAAATGAGTATAAGGTAGCACGTGCCAGTGCCCTAGAAGCAATGGCCGATCCACTGTCAGGTAATTGCTTTGAACGTATCATACCCTGGAAAATAAAATAACATTCCATTTACAGAAAAAGATTTCATTAAAAACATCAGTTAATTGCAATTGTTATACTCAACAATGTTTCCACTTCTAAATCTATGCCTTTACAAATTCAGACCAGAGGATTTCAGAAGTTACAGGCAGAGTTTAAATATATGTCAAGCACTTGAAATGCATCACTACATCCAGTGGAAACAGTCCTTCACTTCTTTTGGACAAAGACAAATTTCTACATTTGTTCTGCAACAAAAAGGAGTTTACATTCACACTTAATTTGACTTAAGTTCACCTAAACTTAGGCAAAATATTGCATGTCCTTACCTCCTTAAGGCCCTGTTACATCTTGTGGATTTGGAAGTGTATGCTGACTGATTTTAAAAAATGACTATTACACAAGCATACAATGAAAATTTTGAGTGTGCAGTACTGCAACATATATGAAATTGAATGCGTTTCAGTGTGCTCTACTCAAAATTTTCATATGTCAGCATACTCAAACTAAATTGTCTAGGAATGACAGGGCAATTAGAAAGAGCCAGATATAAATTTTACTGGCTTGGGTTTAAAATAACTGATCTGGGCCCAATGGCTATTCAACATGGAAAATAATAATTCCTCGTGTAAGCCTAATATGTTGGGGCTTCTCAACTCACCTTGGAAAATCCTTTTGGATCTTGCTTTTTTGCCAATGAAAAAGCTGTAGCAAACCCACCAAAGAACATGAAGCTGCCCATGCTTACCAGGAAAATAGCAGCTGCAACAAAATCAAAATGATAATCATTATGACTTTTTTTGTATGATTTTAAATGGGTTCTCTCTCCTTACTACAGGTAACTTAGCATGGGTTAACAAGAGCCATTCAGAACAAGTTGATCCACTAACTAACAGATCAAATATGGCCAACCCACATAAAAGCAGAACCATCTAATCCCCTGATGGCCTCCCCACCTCCACAAAGCATTGTCGCTGCAGGCCTAGGGGCCTTGCAAGAGCAGAGAAATAATCTGTTTAATTGTACATGCGGAGATAGGGAGACCAGGAGATAAGGCAGCTTACATTTAAGTGGGGTTGGACATATTTAGTCAACAGATCAGTAAGTCTGCAGATCACCTGTTCTGAAAGCATTCTAAGAATACATTTATACAGTTTGCAGATTCATAATCCTATCAACCCAACATTAAAAGCAATATGTGATGCTACAGTGATAGAACTTATGGCCATTATATTATCTTTTCAATAGGGGAAAATAGTGAATTTTACAGATACTACATTTTTTAATCCATAATATCTTAAAATAAAAACATTCCTATTACAGTGTAAGATGTAAAAACAAAATTAAATGACAGGCTACTCCTTTGTTCTATTCTATGCAGTAAAAGCACCATAAATTTTTCAGTTTCATTGGGAACAAGCCATAAGCCTTGGGTGTGCATGTGTTATTAAGAAGAATTGAAAAACCTATTTATTAATATAGCAGACATTGATCGATGTCACCACATTAGTGCATTTAGAAAAACTTTGAAAATCAAAGACTTTTCCTTTTTTTTTTTTTTTTTTACTTTTATTGATAATAATACTGCATGCATGTAATATGACGCTATTATAAGTTTAAAATACTAAACCGATCATGGTAGTTTTTTCATCATGGTACATCAGTGCACTATTCGAAGGCGATCAAGGTGACATACTGTATTTCTGAAGCCGAACAAGCCGTTACATAATTTACATAATTTATTTAACAACTGTTCGTAAGTTATTGATATTTTACAATAAATGCATTGTAAACAGCTCATAGAAATATAATAAATTCCACTTTAACACCAAAATTAGTGATTAACACAATTATTCTGGAATTTGTGCTTGCCATCATATCTATATATATGGCTACACTCTGTAAATCTTAAGAGAATATTACAGAAAACCAAACTTTTTAGAAAAGAGTCAGGGACAAACTTTGAATGTGGGAATGGATTCATTAACCATTGGTTAGTATGGGAAAATTGTCCTTTACCCCAGGAAATCCTTTTTTGGCCAAAAGGAACAGTTGTTATCCCTTTAATTAACGTTAATTGCATAAGAATAAACTTTAAGGCGAACACTAAATATCTACTGTCTAATAAGTTCTATCGTACGTGCAACTTTCTGCATTAGCACTTTCCCTTTGCTTTTAGTTTGTTTTTCTGTGTCATCGTTTTCCATCATTCTTAAGGAGATTACAGTGCTCCGATTCCAGTGCTCCGCTGCCGCATGCAACTTTAACCGGAAGTTAGTACTCTGTTATAATCTCCAAACACAAAAGAGCGTGAACAGTTTGATTTATTGTCTTAAGGATATTGTAACCTTTTTGAACCATCCAGATACTGAAAATGAGGTTTTCCTGCTTCTCAATATTCAGTAATGCATCTATCTTTGCGCTGATTTAAAACAATAAGAACCCTAAATGTACAGCATAAGGCAATCAATTTAACACCTTTCTATTTTAAGGTGAAACCCCAATTAATCGACATGGACAAGGGATAATAACTTCGTTTTGGCCAAAAAATGAATTTTCCTGCAGTAAAAAATAATTTTCCCATACTTACAAATGGTTAATGAATCCATTTTTACATTCAAAGTTAGTCCCTGTTTTTTTTTTTTTTTTTTTTTTTTTTTTTTTTTTTTTTTTTTTTTTTTTTAAAAAGTTTTTTTTTTTTTTTTTTTGTTAAAATCTCTTAAGAGATTATAACAGAGTACAGCCATCAATGGAGCTCAGGTGATCTGAAGATAAGCTCAGATATCAGAATAATAGCTATAACTGCCGTTCTTGTGGTAAAACAGAATATATTATATTTCTATTAGCTGTTCATAGTGTTTTTATTGTGAAATATAGATATCATACGAAGAGTTATTATCCCTTTAACTTAATCCCTGAACAAGATTATATCAAGACAATTGGCAGAGTTGACCAGAAGTGTATAGGCTACTACTGGCGGATAAACAATGAAGGCATTATTTTGCCCTTATCAACCATAAAATCTGAACTAAGACTTTTAAGAAAAATCGCTGGCTAGGTTTTGGAGCTAGATGGTGTAATTAAATCGGCGTTGAAACGGTGATCGTGCATGGGTGCTCAGGTAAAGACGAAATTTGAGAAACAGATTTTTCGGTTTTTACCCCAAAATCGCAATTTTGACGTCACCCGTAAGGGGGTACATGTGTAAATGTTAATTAATTTAGTCACTGGACATATAAGATTTATCTACTACCCAAAAGAATGTAGGCCTATGTAAGGCAGTAAATAAGGGCATTTGGGCGAAGGGTGACAATATCATTAAAAAAAGTTATTTTGTTTGGCACATCCATTTGTTCTTTTTATTTCAATTTAATTTATCTAATTTTGTATGTTCTCTTTTCATTTTATTTGTATAACTGGTGACGAAGTTTCAAGATATTGCTCAAATATGCCAATGAATTGGAAAAACGTTATTTACTTAATATGATAAATTACAATAAATCTTATGAAACTTGCAGCTTTATATGTAAGAGGAGAGAGACTTCTTCCTATCTACAATATCTTTCATACATTACCAGTAGCCTATTATACGGGCTCCAGAGTAGGGTGGTACAAACAGAATCTGGCTGAAAAGGACAGAAATGAGATGAGAACTTTTTTTGTGATTGATTCCGAGTCATCTAAAAACTTAATAACATTACAAAGTATCGACAAAAGACAAAGGGACGTGGTTTGAAAGAATATATTGACTTCTTCATCAAAGCCATAATATCTTATCATTATATCTTATTTGGATAGTGATAACTTGACACGATGAAGATAGGCTATAGTGAAGAGGTTAGTGTCAAGTTACATGTATCTCTGAAGCTCAGGGTGATGCATAGGTGTTTGTAGTACAAATTTTTGTTTGCCACTGGGAGACCATACACGGAGATTTTATTAATAAAAAAAGTCAAATGGGACACAGACGACGAAAAATTTTGGGTTTGCACCATGATTTTAAGTAGCTAGGTGTCCTAGACGTATCGGTGGGCCTAATGCTCAGATGAATTTTGGAGAACTTGTAAGCCGGAGACTTGTTTGACTTTCCACTTAACATTCTTCATTCCACCATGAAAAAGAAACTAAGAGCCCGCGACTTGCAATTAAATTTAATTTCTTTTGAACATGAAATGAAAAGCAATTTATTCAGATACAAAAGAAAAATTAATGAAATAATAAGTAGCGGCACCCTGACTTTAAACAAGTGAATAAGGTGGCCCATTCTAACAAATCAGTACGAAATAATTACCTCTGAACAAGTAATGCAGTTCAGTATAGCCTATATCACTGCCCTGTGGCATATATTCCTATCAGTTAACTCATCGTAGACTATTTGATCTATATTGTAACTCAACATCACATGTATCAGTATCATAACATATATTCGCATAGATTATTGATAGATGATTGTGTGATCACGTAAATCGACAAATGCAAGAAATAATTAATTCCGACAAATCATTTCTTATCCCCTCTCAGACCCTCTGACCAAAGAAATAATACAACACTGTGACATTTCAAG